CAATGTCATGCACGTTTATCATCAAAGGACACTCATCCCGTTGCAGCATGTGACAAGGATGGCTTGTGATCCGAACAGGGATCTTGGCGTGGTAGGAAGGGTACCACCCGGTAACACATTAAATTATCGCCCTTTAGACTTAGTGCTAACCGAACGGACGAGTAGTACCATGATCGGGTTCCATAGTAACGTAATACTAGGTGTAATTCCCGAGTGGTACTCCAAGCCAGCCACACCAAATGCAATAAACAGGGTTTCATTAGTGCAAGCACATTTTTAAGATATTAGTTGTCATTTTTGCTAGTTAATTTAGATTTTAATACATGAAGTTCGTACCTAAAAGAGTATTGTCCAAACTTTTCACACACCAGATTGGATACCCGTTTATTATTGCAGATTTTACGAGCCAAAAGCTTTCTCTATGCGAGGTTCGACGACGATCCTTGTCACGAAGTGAAAGTATCTGGATGATGTCTGGTAATCTAGCAATTGTTTATATGAAATCAAAACGAAAGGATTACGTATGACAAAGTTCAAAATTGTGCGAGGAAAGTTGCGTCCGTAAGAGCTCATCAAATATTTTCTGCAAGGAAGCTATGAAATTGATTGGTGTAGTATATAGACGGGTTAACATACTTCATGAAGGAACTGCATCCCATTCTTGCAGATCCTCTTTCGACAGCACCAGCAATGTAATGCAAGATAGTGACACCCCAAAAAATTGTTGTGGACCGTACTTATTTCTATAGTACCTTCTTTTCTACCTGTCTTCCCGCAAATATATTGTGGACCGGCGGCTCTGTGACAAGCCTGCTAAAAGCCGGTGCTTGGAGATTATTTACACTGACTTTTGGTATCTTGGTACAAACCAAAATCAGTGGACATAAACCTGAATGAGGATATAAAAACGCACTTCATGGATTTCCAGAGCCATTTATTAGATTGCGTTGGTAGTAATCAACGCCGAGATGTTCTGCACTTCCAAGTTTTGAATTTCGAGTATTTTGTAACATTGTGCACATTAGTCACGAATATTTTAGATGCCACCAACTAGAAATTCGTCTCATTGATCACCATAATGACAATGCATATCGACCGCCTTCGCTAAACGAGACTACATCTGAAAATGCACTTACCATATGTCCTCCTACCTGGGTCTTCCCACATCTGTCGTGATGTGTATATGAGAAAGAGCCCAGTTCCAACCGATCATGAAATGCATCTTGCATACCGTTTTACGTACCATTCCTGCAGTCTTCACTTCTGTAGCTCATTCATAATTTTACCTGAC